AGATAGATACCACATATTTATAGCGTTTATACATTTATACAATACTTTATATAAAATAAAGCATCAGTATTTAAAACTCACTTCTTGATCATTTCATTCTCGTCCTATTTCCTCTCTTACATCCTTCGCTGCTGCTCCGAACGTCTCATCTGTGTTCGGTTCAGTTCTCGCAACGACCATCGATTTCGCCAATTTTTTAAATATTCCTTTCGAAGATATACGTCTAGAACAACAAAAAAGAAAATATTCGAGATAAGTGAAAATTTGAAAAGGTCGAAGTTTGACAAAATTTGTCATTTTTCAAAAGAAACGGCTTCAATTGTCTAGTCTCACACGGTCTACGAAGAGCGATAAAATTCGGGAAACGCGAATAACGCGAAGAATCGGGGCGAAAAGCGGGGGAACAAGATTTCCCATGGAAACTCTCGGGAAACTGGCGTCGATTTCGAGGGTTTGCACGCTTGGAACAGCTTCCGTGTTTAACTTGCCCCTTTCACGGGACCGAGAACAAGCTCTCAGCGTGGACCGACGAATCCGAGAGGTTGAGTGGCACAATGGCAACAACGGTGAAAACGAAGGGTCGAGATGTTAAATCCTCCAAGACATTGCTACCAAACAAGGTACGACTGTTTTCCATTGAAACGAGATACCAGCGTCGCGAAAATATTGAACCTCGAATTTCCTCCGACAAAACGCGAGAACGCGAAATGAATAGCCCGTTACCACGGTTCACCGCCTCCCGATCGCTCGAATCTGGTTTGCTAATGACAGATTTGTCAAGAGCCGTCCGCTCGTTAGAAAGTTCCCGAATCGAAATTGCCCGTTTACGCGCTAATGACGTGCCGCGTCGCGTGCCTCGCCAAGTGAAATTTTCATCCTCGCCACGCTCGCTTTCGCAGCAGCCAACGGTGAAAATGACGGTTCGCAAGATGTACCAATGTTTAATCAGCTTGATCCTTTAACGGCGATCAAATCGATCCAACTGGAACGAGAAATACTTCGCCGTGACGTAACAACGCGACCATGTCAACGATGCGTAAGAGAAGTTTAATAATGTTCTGACAGAGGTGAATTGATAGATCTCCTTGTATTACTGGCGACATTTTGCAGTGCTAATTCTCGTTTCGTGTCTTTGTAGTATGTGAAAGTTCGCTGTCTTCCTTTGATCTATTGTCAAATCGTGAACGAAGAATCGTACCGTATTCTCAGTTGAAATTCATTCGAAGCTCTGAACGTAACTGGAATTTGAGAAAATGTTTCAGCAACTGTCTGAGTTGTTCTCGACGACGATCAGAGAACTGAGAGAGGTTTGAGTTTGGTTAAACGCGAGCCAACTTCGAGAGTCTTGAACCAGACAGCTCGTCCACGACTACTGGGGAATCGGTGTACCGGAAGTGGATGGCCACGTTACGCGGACGTCGCAAAGGTAACCCCAAGCCACGACTATCGTCTTTCTAACAGCGTGACACACTTGGTAATTTGTTCGCCAATGATTACAGAGGGAACTGATGTTCGTTAGGCGACAGAAACGGCCAGCCACGCTTTGCGGAACAATATCCAATATAAGATGGTACCAACTCGAAGTGAGATCCTTTCAATTTCAATTCAATCCAAACACAGCACTTCATTGACGAAGACGGAACGGGGAACTCGAGATATTCGTCTGGAATTCGTTGCAGTTAATCGAATCTCTTCCTTCGTACAGCAGGTATAGATTTTCACTTTGGAATTCGCGAAAATCTAGCTGTAGGTATGCTTGATTCGAGTGCGTCGAGTTCCATCTATGCTTGATCCTTCTAAATACCTGATATACTGACGAATAATTTCTTACTTTTCTAGGGTATCGAAGATTCTATCTAAACTGTCTTCGCGGTTGTCTTCACTCCACGAAACCAGTTAAACAGCTTCGTTTTCGTCCCGATTAACCCTTTCGTTGCCGCAAATTTTAGTCCATAACGCGCGGGAGATTCAGATGTTCCACAACGGATGCAAAATTGTCATTTGAAAATTTGTTTCATCGAGTTAACGTGGAAGAGCAAAGTGCGCCAAAAGGCTGAGATTTTCAAAGCGGCTACAGGCGCGAATAGCGGTGAAAGGGTTAAATTACCACTCGAGAAGATCGAATCACGTCGGAAGACCGGAGGAGAAAGGGTTTCTAAGGCCGTGGAGATCTCAGGAATTCCTCGTTTCACAGGGAATAAGGGTCGATCTAGATAAAGACTGATCGGTCGGTGCTGACCCATCATATTCGTCCAAGAGGTTCGAACTTTCCAGCTCGGCTTGGCCACAAATACGGCTTTAACCGACGCTAAAAGAGCTTTAAATCTCTTCCAGGTTCGCGAACGGGACAGAATCTGGTGGACCATGCTCTCCCCCGAAGTCTGCAGCTGACCGGGAGTAAAATAAAAGCCATTCGATGCGTGCTAACCTGCGGAATCGAACAGAGTCTGCCGGTGAATGGAGAAGAGTCGATCGACGATGCACCGAAGAAGGAAAAACGTATTTTCCAACGTGATACTTGTTACCGGCACTCTCTCGAACATCGAGAATGCGTCTTCTTCATCGATTAGCCATAACTGTCTCGTGCACGCGATGCCAAGTAAATTTGAACAGACACCTGAGATCTACGAGCGTTACGTTCATTCCTCGATCATTTTCCCGCGTGCTCATACAATTTGGAATGTCGAAATTAACGAACCGACGAATATTCTCAGGTTTCTCGTCGATCTCGTCTCAGTCGAAAGACGCATTTTCCTAATGCAGCGTGGAAATCCGAGTATTTACAGTTTCTTAAATGTGTCGAAATTGGAAACGTGTCACGTGTCAATTCTCGCCACTTTTTAAGAGACCATTAAGAGAGAAGAGCGGAGAGTACGAAAGTAATTGGACAGGCGAGATTAAAGGAAGACTGTGACTAAAGGGGACAAGATTTTCGTCGAGGACGCTTTTAACTAACACACAAATCCTAGCTCGCCTCGCATCTCGCTCGCTATGCACCGAAGCGAGATCAACAGCTGAATTCTCGTGGCGGATCATCCCTTTAAGCGGTAATTCGGATAGGCTGTAAACGGCACTCTCTAGCCTGCCTCTCTCGCGAACCATTTGCTGCGATTCACCGCGTACAGCAATGAATCTCTCTGTCAGAGATTGCCGCACTTTCCACGCGGAAGCTACACGAGCTTCCTTTACGGAACGTCAAACCTGACGAGTTTATGTGCGTTCGAACGGTGTTTCGAGACGGTTGCCACCTTCGATCGCTGCGTGTAATTTCACAGCGTCTCTTAACGACGAACAAAGGTAATTCGATTTCTCTAGTCGAATCTGTAGGTGCAGCGCTGACAGAGACATTGCAATTTTCTTTCGCGACAGAAAGGAAGAATGGAGAACACAGAGAACGTGCGAAGACGAAGAGAGCAACGAGACGGTTTCGTACTTGAAAGTATTTATTAAAACGGCACAATGGCGCTGCGGCGGGTATAAAGCTTCGGCGAAGAAACGAAGACGATAAAGCGATCGTTTCATCTTATTCTAGAGGACACGTCAAGATTACGATTACAAGGACGAGCATTCAGAAAGCTCGTCGCGCCTGGAACTACTCGTTAAATCCCTTTTAGTGGATTCATCGCCGTTAAGAGTTCTCGAGACGTCGAGATAAAACGTAGGATCATATTTCTCAGATTCAGCATGGATCTATGGAGTTTCACCGTGAAATGTCGGAATTCGAGACGAGTCTTTTGTCGGAATCTTAGGTGTGTGCCTATCGCTGTGATTACGAACGAGCGAAAGTAACAATTAGGTCCGTTGGAGGTTGTTAAATCGGTACGAAACGATTTCGTAATTGCCGCGAGAAGGATAGATGAAACGAAGAGACGCTGATGCGGCGGATCAGGCGTGGTCCTTTCTCTCTCGAAGATGTGCGATTCCTACACGAGTTTCCCAGATGAAGAATCTGCTTACTAGGCTCAGGTTTTGCGGCCAAGGTCATTCCGTGAGTGAATCGCCAGGGCTACTTGTCGAACGGCATCGCGATTTTCAGGTTGCTTCTCACGTGCACACACTCGAGTGCCCGCCTTTCGATTGCACTCGAGATCGAACTCGAAAGGCCGCTTCTTCTGCTTTCACCGGTTAACGCCTCCGAGCGGTACCGGCTTCGTCAAACGACCCTCTGTGCTTTCAAATTCTACCGTGAATCTCCTCGTCTAATTCCGGACTAAGCAAACTAGCGGGTAATTTTGCGGGAAGCTTTTTATTACTCTTCGTAAGCAATTTTTTTAATAATTTTATATTTCTTATGCAGAGAATTCAATTACCGTATTTCCCAGGTTTTTCACTGTATTAACCCTTATGTCAATGATCGGATACCCTTTTTCACATTCTTATCTAAAATATTTCGGCTTTAATATCCGATCATTGATCTTCGTTTGATAATATTTCATCTTTAATGTAAAAGATTTTAATACCCGGCAAGATCTTCGTTATTTGCCACATTTCCTCTCCGCGTTTGCTTCGAGTCGAATGTTGCTATCAGAAAACTACTAAAATTGCAACCAACCTTCGAGCTTTGTCGAATTTAGCACGTGGTGTGCCGACTAAGTCTAATAGGTTCGTCTTCGAAGGACCACCTCCGTGATTAGGAGAACAAAACAACTATTGCTAGTGGTCTAAACTTCTAAAAGGAGCGACTCTTATCGTGGTCAGATGACTTCTGTCTTTCCCTTCCCCGAAAGGTCCCACGACACCTCCGTGCGAGGACGCATCGCGGGGGTGAGGCCCTCGATAGGTTGAGTACATTTTTCGATAGTGGTGGGGAAGGGTGGTTGGCGAAAACTATTGGTTAAAATCATAGGTGGAAAAACTACACGAAAATGCCACCCCCCAGACCATAGGTCACTCTCAGGTACCAAGCGTACCCTTGAGTGACGCACGCGGGAATTCCGAGTGCCTCGAACAATGACCGTAGCTTCGGCTCTGGTGACCGTATGAATGCAAAAATGTACAAGTTAAAAAAGGGGCGAAGATTCTAAGTCGAAAACAAGGCAATAAAGTTGAAAGCAAGTTCTTAGATTGAAAGACTACGATTGCCGTGGCGTCATAAAATTACCACTGCTACGAAACGAGCGAAGGCGAAAAATATATACAACAGAACTACATGCTAAGAAATCTAAGGGACTAAATCCTGACATACCTGTCGAGGATTAACACGTTTGTCGTCACGTCACCCATATCTGGGTGACGTTCTTCTTCGTCGAGTTAAATAGGATTTCACAAGTAATTTATAAAAATCCATATAACACAAGAATTTAATGGAATATCACACTATATTATACTATACGTTAATTTATATTGAAAATAAAATACAACATTATACTACGTAGCATGGTATTCGTTAAAACAGTTGGAACACATTTGTGGTGATTTTCGACAATTGGGATCATCTTCTGGTAACATAGAACGCAAATTTCAGCTAATCGCTCTGTTTACGTTCTTGCGCTCCGACTACCGGATTTAGGCCCCGCGAGAAACTCGACCGATTCACGCTGGGCGACGAACGTGTTAAACAATTGCGTTTACTATCATAAGTGTTAAATTGATCTAAATTTTTATAGAAATCGAGATAGAGAAGATCTACCTGTACTAAGTCAGAGGGATTATTAGGAACGAAGTAAGAAGCCCTAATTAAACTGCAAAACCAAGGAAACCAGCTGATACCAATTTATACCTAGCAATTAATTTAACACTGTGTAAAATAAAGTTGTATCTGTCACGAGTCTATAACTGCCTTTAACAATTGCGCCTGACCTTTGACCTTGGAGTTTTTTCAAGATTCCCTGTTTTATACGGGACAATCAGCCGACAAATGTCGTCGATGCGAAATTGGAAACGAATCGGACACGTACAGCGTTCTCGTTCCGCTCGAAGCAGCCAGTAGGCTGCTCTGCTCCCATAAGAATCCCGATGCATTGCGTCCGCGCAGACAATGACTGCAAATGTCAGTCTCACCATTAGCATCACGTTCAATCTCAGCCGTTCCTCCTCCATCGTTTCGCGCCGCTGCGAATTTCAAAAGCCCCGCCGCAGATATGGATGCGGTCACGTGGACGATATTGAAATTCACAGATTCAAACCTCCTACACGGCGTGATACGCGTTACGAGTCGTGTAATCTCGTGCAACGATAGAGCAACTCTCCCAAAGGTTACTCCTGTTGAAATAAAAAAGAGAGTTGGTTTTAGAAATTTATGGAACGGATGAGGTTTCAATTGAAAAGCAATTCTCCTATTTTCTTTCATTTTTCAAATTCGAACAATTTTACTGCAACAAGAGACAAGAAGATCGGGACCAGTTCACACGGTCTTCCAACGAAAACCTCCGCGAAGAGTGGCAGAGACGCAACGAGGAATCGAGCATGGAGAGACCCTTTGTTCGATGTTTCACGGGTGTTCGATCGTGGACCAATTTGTGTCTATCGATCTGCGCGCGATAATTGGAGCAACGAAGAACGGAAGCGTAAAGGTCACGTTCGACTCTACACGCTTCGTACGTAGCAGAAGAAAACCGTATTAATCCCTGAGAA